GGCCCCGCTAACTGCCAACCTCCGGACGCGGGCCGCCGCGCTTACCCGGGCCTCGTCCGGGGCGCCGCCGCCGCTCCCTCCGGCCTTGGTGGCAGGGCAGCTGGCAGCGCGGGTCTTGGAGGAGCGGGTCCGCGACGAGATGAAATGGCTACTGCCGCCGATTGCCCCAGGATCTGCTCCGGCCCCAGGCCCAGGCCCAGGCCCAGGCGACTTGGACCCGAGAAGGCGTAGAGAGCTCTTCCGGGTGTTCACCATGGTCCGGCCAGGGGAACGGGATCCGCGCCGCGGCCGCCGCGCCCCGGGGAGACGAGTGAGGCCGGTCCACCAGCCGGGCACTCACGGCCAGCGGAGCTCAGGCGGGCCGGGAGGGACGAGCCGGCCCGGGCTGTGCGGCGCGCGGGCGAGGACAGGCGAGCGTGAGGCCGAGGAAAGGAAGTCGGCGTGCAAAGGCAGGTCGCGAAGGCGGGAGCGATGCGCCCGGCCGGCACGCAGCCCCGCTGCCGGCTTCGCCCTCCTCAGCGGGAGCTGAGCGGAGCCGCCATTTCTGCCCCTTTCTCTCTCGTTCTAGCTCTCACTCTGTGCGTCAGGGCTCCAGCGCCGCAGGGCCGACGCGACCGCTTCGGGCCGTGACCGCTGCGGGGCGCTGCAGGGCCACCCAGCCCTGCCCTTCGCGCTTGCTGCCCCTCCCCCTCCACTCCCCCTCCTTCAGCTCCCATTAGGCCCCGCCCAGCGATCGGCTGCGGGGCGCTGCAGGGCCGCCCAGCCCTGCCCTTCGCGCTTGCTGCCCCTCCCCCTCCACTCCCCCTCCTTCAGCTCCCATTAGGCCCCGCCCAGCGATCGGCGCCAACGCGGGGCTGCGGAGGAAGGGACGCTCTGGGCTCAGTCATCTCTATGATTTTCTGGTCTAGCGGGCAATCCAGGCTCTGTAGGGGGCTGGGGGCACCCAGTCATTATGAGCTGGGAGCGCAGTAAATGGTCCTCCAGCCCTTCACACCTTGTCGAGACCGAGCACCCTAGACACTCCCACCATTTACCTTAACTGACCTAACGACTAGGAAAGGGGGGGGGGGGGGGGGGGGGGGGCGGGGGAAGGGCGGCGAAGCCGGTGATGGAGAAGGTGCAGTGAACTGAGTTGGAATCCCAGAGCCACCTCGTAAAAATGAGAATAAACTGTGCAAAAACACATGTGCAGTATCTGGCAACAGAGTGGCTAAAAGGCGGGGAAGGGGAGGGAGAGCTACAATCCTTCACCTTTAAACAAAGCCAAGCAGGAAGGGTCGTTTCCTACAACCTCAGCCAGATCCAAGGCGGAGCCACAAAGGAACAATTTCTGCCCACTGGCCCCCAAAATAGAAAATTTGTGATTTAGCTTTCAAAGAAAAATATGTTACGGCTTGCAATATATATTACAACTGATGCTGTAAAGTAGGAAGTATGTTTGTTTCACAAACCCATGGTACAGAAGAAGTGTCTAGCCTATGATTGGGCAGAAGTTCTTAGTGTTGACTACACTGGGGGAAATAGAAGACTAGAAGAGACCTGTGGAAATCACCGGGCGCCTTCAAAATTAGAGCACGCAGCCATCGGAGCTGCCAATCATTTAGCAGAAATGCACATAGCACTGGGGCCGAGGCTGGTTTTCTTTGTGGAAGCTGTACATTCCAGGAAGTGACTAATCTTTGTTATGTTAATTTGAATGTCGTAGGCCTTCCTAGTCACTTCACACACCACTGAAAACTAGCCTTTTAACTTCTGTGTGGAGATCTCAGATTGGAAGTGGGCCTGAATTTTCCTGAGTCCTAAAGCTATGAAATCACTTCAAACCTTTCAATTTGGTGAAGAATAGTAAGTGTGGGGAGTGTCTGGGGAGGTGTACAAATGAGTATGGTAGCAATGTGATAGCAAGGATTTGATTGCTTTCCTCCTTTCTTCCTTTTGCATTTGGTTATATAGTCTTAAACCTGGGACAGTGTATTAGAGATTAAATTCTGACCACTCTTGCTGAAGGCTATGCATGACAGGGAAGCCCAAAACCTGGAGTCCCCAAGGAGATTAAGTCTCCATTTGAATTCCTTCTGACCATTGATAAGGGATGTGAATAGTCTTGCCCTCAGGCAGAGGGAATCACCTCCACTCCCTTTAGCCTGCCCAGGGAGGGGCAGTCTCCCTCAGGGGGTTGCCTGGGTGTATCTTTGATGGCCATCACTGCACTGGGACTGGTCCTTGGGATCCCATAACCAGGAGTCATGCCTTCTAAGCCTTGCCCTGCCAGCCATGGTGCAGCCAGCCATAGCCACTCTCCTGTCTAACATAATGTACACGTCTAACAATCATGGTCCTCTTCCCACTTCGAGAGCTCTACCTGTAACTAGGATGTATTGATCTGCTGCTAGTCATGAATTTGTGAGTTTCCTTTGTGTTCCATGCCTTTCTTGTGGTCACTTCCTGCCTGTAAACCCACTGACCTTTGTGACCCCCATGCTAACCTCAGCAGGATCCTATGTCTTTGCCTTGTCTTTGGCTTATTTAAGACTTAAATGTTCTCCTTGAATTATATTTGAGATTTTCGATCTCTTTTGTTCTCTAAAACAACAGAAAATATTACAATTTGAGTTACTGTAGCCAATACTATTTACTATCAAAAAGTGCTTGCCCTAAACCCAACTGGTATTAGGTATGTTGCCCTGCTTAGATATGTGGATATTGAAAGACATTAATAACAGAGATGTAGCGCCATTCCCCACCCCCAGTTCACAGACTAGGAGGACATAAAGGACAGGCAAGGAACTGTTGAGCTACAATACAATGTGATAAAAATGAGGCACAAACATGCAGTGATATTAAAGAAACCCTGTGTGAGCGGTGATGGCCCTTAAACCACAAGACAGAAAACAAGGACATTGCCCTTGCATTAACATGACAGGTTTTGGTCTAAGAGACAAGGGTCTACCCTTGCAAAAGATGATATAGAAAAATTTCCCCTAGCACCAATCCCCATGCTCAGTGTAAACAGCTCAATCAATTATGAAATCAATCTGAACCAAGCAACAATTCATGGACTATATTGCCATAAACTCCTGTCAATAGTACCTTAAATTCTAGATCATTGGATAAATTATTGATGCTATCAATGTAATCATCTTATACTCTACTGCAAGGGTGTCAAACTGGCATCCCGCGAGCTGAATGCGGCCCCAAGGTAATTTTTTATGGCCCACAATGCTCTGAAATAAAATGAAAATAGAAAAAAATTGCTATGAAGAAAATAGTGCTTAAGGGAGATCGAGCAATATGCACACTCAATTCCCTCATTACATTTTATTTTAGAGCACCGTGGACCACAAAAAATTACCTCAGGGCGGGCCACCAGTTTGATACCCCTGCTCTAAGGGGATAATTGACAATGTTCAACTTTTTTGTTTCTTTTGTTTGGGGAAGTTCTTTATGTTTCGTTTATTTGGTTCTGTTTTTGCTGATTGTTTTTGTCATAATATGACTGCCAAAGTAAACCGGAGTCATTCATATCTGGGGACAAGCAGTTAGATTCTAGGCTCCCACTTAATTCTAGCCCTATTCCAGAAGTTCTTATCACAGGACTCTGCTTAATACTCACCTTCATGAAGAGATCACTGAAAATAAGTATGGTGAAGAAAGCAGATAGTACTATCAATTGGAGTCTTCAAAGTCTGGGGTCTGGAGTCTGGGGTCTGGGGTCTTCAAAGCTTATTATAATCAAACAAGCAGCTACCTAAATGAGGCATCAACTAAGTCCACATCTAAAAAGATGACAATAACAAAATCCAAATATGATGAAGGGAAATGTATCAGAGCTTAAACTGTAAACACCCAATTTGTAGAAGAACATGGAGAAGAATGGAAACCCAAACTCCATCTGCAGTGTCTGGTTCGATTGGACCTCTGGCAGATCCCCTCTAGTCTTAGATGAGGCACTCAAACAGCTTTACTATGAGACAGATTATTGTAAACTTGGTTAGGGTGGATCCAACGACGGTATAATATGATACTTGGTCAGTTGACTGCTCGCATGAACCAACCTGAATTTGCTCTAGGCTCAAATATTTCTCAATTCTTCCAAGAAAGAAATTTCTTCTGACTTTTTCAATATTGCTTTTTTCTTTATTACTCTCTATTTTTATCTTTATGTTGTTATTGTTGTTTTCTTCATACTGTATGGTTTTGGTTTTTATTGTTTCTGTTAGTCTCCCAGTTTGTGAAGCACAGAAGGAGCTGATGCATAGAGACAAGAACTGAGGCAATGGGCTATCAGGAGGAGGGAAAGAGGGAAGGGGAGGGGAATTGGGGAGTGATCAGGGGATGCAGGAGAGGGGAGAGAGCATTAGAGCTGATGGGGATGATACATATACAACTCTTTTTAGAAGCTGTTTAACTGTGAAAGTGTATGACATGTGAATATTATATTGAAGCAAACTGACCAAAGGAATGCTATTTGTTGACTGCTGAATGACCTGCCTCCTTCCCCTCCCATCTCAGAAGTGCCACTATGATTGGCTTTAGAATGTACTCTTATGTTCCCAAGATCAGGACATTGTAATTAATCTCTAATATTGTTCCTTTTGAATCAATCCTGTACGCTGCAACACTCATACTAAAAAATTATAACATTAATTTTGCTGTTTGCTTTTGTCATACCTGCTCGAGCTATAAAAAAGCCCCTGACAAATGAGGTTTTACCTATATAAGCCGGCTATTATCTTCACTCTGGACTGCAATCTAAAGAATCACTTAGATTATTGAAGTCCAGTAAACTGAATAAAGACTCTTCTACATGTCAAGACATTGTGGCTTATATTTATTTGAACCTGCAACAATATCAATAAAACTTTTAAAAAAATAAAAGAAAGAAATCAAACCTTGACCTATGGTTACCATGGGTGAAGAAGGAAAAGTTTTTTGAAAGGAATAATAATAATGGTTGTACAACATGAAGAGTATAACCAATGGCACTGAATTATACATGTTGAAGTTGTTGAATTGGTGAATGTTTTGTTGTGTATGTTTTTGCCAAATAGAAAAAAAAACACACATGAATATCAGTGAGTACAGGGAAAAAGAAAATGTTCTAAAATTGATTGTGGTAAAGAGTGAACAATTCCTCTGGATATGGTTGAACTATTGAATTGTATGATATGTGGATGAAGAGCAAATAAAACTATTTAAAAGAAAGAAACAAGGACAATAAAAAGGAAAATTTGAAAAAGGCTTAGAAAAGTTAC